CCACCGCGCCCAATTCGGCGCACCCCCTCGCGCGTCTCGCGGCCCCAGAGGATGCCCTACCGAAGGCTCCAGTGGGAGGGTTGGCGTGGCGCCGCCGCGACCAATTTGGCGCGTCCCTCCACGCGTCTCGCGGCCCCATCGGGAGCTCCACCGGAAGCGGCGCCAACAATGCGGCACTCGCAGCTGCGTAGGGCTGGGTCTTTCGCCAGTCTGTTTTTGTGTTCAGCCGCGCAGTAGAAAATGAACCCAAGGCAGCGTTTATAGTCCGAGCTTGGAAATGTCGATGTTTCTGCTCTCGTCTACAGCTCAGGTTGCTCTGCGAAAGACTTGAACCAACGATCAATGCCGCCAGTCTTATCTTCCACTGAACCTTCTGAGCAAAATCGGCCATTGCATCGGCGCGGTCAGTGTTCTCAACAGGCGCCCCAGCCAGATGCTTGAGCCGCCCTTGCTTCCGAGGTTTCGGCTTGCAATGCCTTCGTAGTGCGCCCCAGATATGCTCGGCGATGCCATAATCAACCTAATGTGGTTTGTCCTCTTTTTCTGTGACTCTCTCATTTGTTTCAAAAGACGCGTCTCTTCCATTCGATTGCGTTGGCTCCGCGCGGCACTGCGCTGACCGATCAAATCCAGCGCGCGCTGGGATGTCAATGGCTTTCTTTTGCCAAGAACACAGGACGGGAGGACTACTTCGGCAGCAATCGCTGCTGTTATGTTCCGCCCCCCCCCCCCCCCGCAGCGCTGCTGTGGGGATCGCAGCCAACGGCTTCCAGAAATACTTCGGCGAACAACGATTGGGCTCAAAGGTCCCTGGGGGGGCCGTTTTGTCCTTCCGCTGGACTCGCTCAGGCGGCTGCTCTTCGTCGCGGTGGCGCATTGTACCTGTAACCATTTTATGGTACGTTGCGAGAGCGGCTTCTCTGCGGCTTCGCAGTCCAGGGATGCGGTGGAGGGCGGCGCCATCGCGCAGAAGCAGGTCCAAGATCTTGTACTTCACCTCCGAAATGTCCCCCATTGGCTCCGCGCATGATTCCACGAGTTGATCGATAAAGACAATGGCAACGAGCACGGACCGCCCAACGCAGAATTCCAAGAGCAAATCCACATAAGGACTGTCGATCTCGCTCAAGGCCCACCTGCCCCAAATCAAATCTCCAACTACGTTTTCTCCCCGGTCTGCGTGGCCAACCCTGGCATTGAAGTCGCCCGATCCCTTTTTCTTGGCGCAGGCCGAACACGCCCCGCAATATTCGTCGAGGTCGCTATAGCTCGCAGCCTCTGCGGCAGCGGTCGGAGGTCGCGGGGGGGCGCAGACGCAGCGCGCTACAAAAATCCCGCTGCCCAGACGGAGCTTAAGTTGAGGCATTCGGTCCAAGAGCTGTCTGTGGGCCCCGCTGTGATGAGCCACGGCCGGCGCCGCAATGGAGTCCAACTCTTGCCCAGGATCGCTCCTCCGCGCCCGCTCTGGAGAGCATGACATCGCATCGTTACGTCTCGCCCTCGTACCCCTCCACCTTGGTAGCCCGGGTTTCATGCAAGCAGCAGGTGTGGATATCGAGTCTCCGCACGTGCACAGTTATCTCTGCGAGCTTGACAGTCTGAGGGACCCCGTCCACTTCAATGCTCGCGAAAAGTCGCCCGGGTATCATGTCCGGTCGGGCTGCCGCGGATATGGGAGACGGAAATCAGTGCACAGTACAGTCACCCATTCCCCTTTCGGGGGTCGGAGGAATGACGCGAGCCTCTTGATCAAGCTACGTAGACCTAAATTAGGCCATGCAGGCTAAGCCGTGACAGGATCGGCAAAAGAAGGCGAGACTGCAATGTGCAAGTCGTGACGCACCGACCCCCGCATTTGCCTGGGGTGAGAGTGCGCGCGAGATGCTTGGCCGCCCCCCCCCCGCCCTTTCCCCCTCCCCGGGAGCCCAACATCAACATGAAAGGCAACCGCCGCACGGACCTTCCGGGCCTTTAGAGCCTCCAACTCCACTCTCGGGCGCGTCCAGATTGCCCAAGATTCGCTCCAAGAGGGCTCCATGGCAGCTTCTGCACGACCAAAGGGAATCAGTTATAACTCAAGGGGCCTAATTACGTAAAGAGACAGCAAAAAAAACAAAACAAATCCTAAGAGTGAGCTCAGACGCTCAAACCCATCACACACACACCCACACACACTGAGCGCTGACATTGCGTGTCTGCTACCTCACCGAAATGCTATCAGACGCACTAGATAATCCATTCAAAGGGGCCCAGGCATAAGCAAGTAACTCAACACAAATTCTGGGATGCCCTGGTGTAGTTCCATATCTTCTGGATGCTCGTCTTCCCCTCCACCTCCCATAGCTTCAGTATTTTATTCGGATTCGACAAGGACTTGCGTCTGTGTGTCTCCCTCCTGAAAGTTGCCCCCAAGATGGCCCCAGATCCGCAGATTGCCCCAGCGGGCCTCCAAGGGGGCCCCGAAGGTGGGTCCACGACGGCCCACGACCGCCTCAACAGGGTCCCAAGACTTCGGCCCTCACGAAACCACAGAAGAGGCACATGAGGGCAGAACAGTGTCGCGCGAACGTAATCGGGTTGTTGGTGGCTGGCTGGGAAGCCACGGCGAATAGTAGCGCTTCGCGCGGACGCGCGCTCATCACAGAGGATCAGACGGCCACGGGATGCCATGTGCAGCCAGCTGACTGAAGCAAACCCCAAAGCACAACGACGAAAACGCCCAGGCGACTTGGAATGCGACCTCTGGCGGGGCACACATGGGCCGACCCTGAAGGATGCGCAGAGATAGATGGGGCAATGCCTCCAACCCCACTGCGCCCCACGGGACACACGGGGTCCCGCGGGCCAGCTCGTTGACTTCAGCGCCACGCTAAGGACGCGCCAGCTTTGCTTCCCAAACGACCCGAGGACCCAGGAAGGGAAGCCAATACAGCCGAACATGCGTTCAAGAAAATGATCGCTTAAGAAATCTGGGCCAGCTTCCAGGAAGGTTCTGAGAACAAAACCCGGGCCAATTTCTGTTGCTAACGGTGGATGGGGCTAACGTGCTCAAGTAACTGGGCCAGTTGCCCGGCAAGTTGGTTAAGAAACGCGGGCCCAGCTTTTAGGGAGGAGGCTTCAAACGGCCCCAAGAGGAGCCCCAGGGGGGCCAGAAAGCACGTTAAAAGGCCCTGCGAGGGTCACAAACGAGGCCCAATTGTTCGGTCACCAGGCCAAAACCGTCCACCACTTGCTGATCAGGAGATTTGCGTTTCTAGTTCCCCCTTGTGGGCCCGCTGTGCTTCCCGCTTTGCGGGCTCACTAATAAGTTGTGCACCTGCTGTTTACAATGACGGAACGGAGATGCACGGTTGGACATTCGAAGCTCGTGCTCTCACAACCCCACGACTCCATCATTCCTACTGCGGCGGTTCTCCTCCTTGTCCTCCTCATTATCTCCCGTTTTTCTCCCTCGCATCTACACCAACCCCGGGCGATTTGGAGCTCTCAGGCAAGACAAAAATACACGACAGCACGGCAGGGAAGGGCCCAACATGGAGATGGTCGCAACGACATCCCAACATCCTGACCACTCTCCCCCTCTCTATTGCCTCTCTGCTCCTCCTGGGCAACAATCGCTCATCGTCGTCCTCCCATGCTGTAGTGTACTCGAGCAGCCCGTGCAGCCCAGATTACATTCGCCCCGTCGTCTAACTTCTGTGGGCTGGCGGAGTGGCATGGGCCTCTTGAGCTATGTTGATCAGATCGGTCGTCACGTTAACGTGGGCCGGTGCTATGCGCTGGCACAGGTCAACCGAGCAGAACACAATGAATTCAAGTGGTCCGCTTCGGGAGGCCACTGAGCCGAACCACGTACAACCATATCGCTGCTACGCTTCCGCTCCCTCAACAGCAGGAGCTGTCTGGCAGGGCTTCCGTAAGCATCTGAAGGACCCGCCCCCCATCGACAAGCCCAATCGCGTGCATCCCGCCCTCCCCTCCCAAGCCTCCCGAGGCTGCCAGAGACCTCCACGGCGCCCTCCGTGGCACTCCATGGCTGCCAGGACGGCCCAGGAAGGCCACGAGCCACCACGGCCGCAAAGATGGCCCAGCGCTGCCTCAATATGCACCCAAGAGCCCCTAGGAACCTTCCGATAGCTACTTGCATGGGGAGCCTACGAATGTGGCACCCCTGGGAAGGTATCAGACGACAACGAAAGAGCGTTATGAGACGTCGCTCCGCTGGGCCTCCCGGGACCGCACGAAAGCGATGGAATTTGCGCTGGTGACACCGCCCAGGCAAGTGGCGACGTTGCGCAATTGTAACCGCCCAAGGAAACGATGTCTCCTTCGGATCTGCGTAGGACACCGCTCCGCTAGACCTCCCAGGAATCCGCGCAATTGGCGAAACATGAGCAGCTGGCATCGTCAAGGAAGGCGAAGTCTCATTCGGATCTACGCGCTTAAGATACCATTCCATTGGACCTCTCTCCAGAGCCCACCAAAGTGGCGACACTTGCGCAGCTGGCAGCACCCAAGGAGAGGTCCCATGTGGCGGGCTCCACGAACCCTGAACCCTGACATGCTGCCATCTCTGGGGTCGCCCTTGTACTTCCGCGAGCTTCCGCCAGCCTTCCGCGGACAGAACCGTCCTCGTTCTGCGTGCTGCCTCCAGCTTCCGCCGACCTTCCACCGAGGGAGAGGTGCCAACTCCTGCGATCCTCGAAGGCAAGGACCTTCCTGGAGCGCGCCATGCGCACTTGCGTAGGACACCACGCCGCTGGACCCCCCAGGAGCGCGTGAAACAGCCGACGGTCGCGCGGTTGCCAGCGCCCAGAGAGGCCAGCTCTGGCTTGCATCTCCGCAGGGCGCCACCGCCGATCCTCCCAGGGGGGGCACGAAAGTGGCGCTCGCTGCGCAGCTGGTAGCGCCAAGAGATGCGAGGCCTCACCCCCAGAGAGGCCAGCCCTCCTGACCCCGGCCGAGCTCCGTCGAGAGGGCACGGTTTTCACCGACTGCTCCTGGACGTCCACCTCCGCCCGCAGCCAGCAGGGGCCGGTCTCGGTGGAGTAGTCCTGCACCTGGACGGCGTCGCACAGGGGCGTGTCCTCGCACAGGTCCATGCACTCCTTCAGCTCCATCACCCCTGGTGCCGGGTCTGCGCCAGCGATTTCGACGCCGCCTCCAGCGAGTGGAATGGACCTCCTCCTTCGTCCCCTCCTTCCCTGCACCTCCTCCGTCCTCCTCGCCCCTCCCTCCCCCATTCCTTCTTGTCCTCCCTCCTCCTCTTCCTTCTCCTCCTCCTCCTCCTCCTCCTCCTCATCATCATCATCATCAGCATCAGCATCAGCATCAGCATCAGCATCAGCATCATCATCATCATCATCATCATCATCATCATCATCATCATCATCATCATCATCATCATCATCATCATCATCATCCACAACATCAACAACATCATCATCATCATCATCATGATCCACAACATTATCGGCATCCTCGTCATCATCCTCAACTACATCATCATTATCATCCTCCTCCTCCTCCTCCCTGCTCTTCCTCTCTTCCCCTCCTTCCGCTCCTCCTCTGGCAGAATGAACAAAACGATTGTAATGATGATAGGACACGTTTTACTGCAAGTGCACTTGCACTCACAATCATAGGGTGTGCGTCCAGTACCGCCGTGAGGCGGAGTCTTGACTTGACCCAGAGGCAACGGATGGCACAATAACCGGACGTGCTACATCGCCTCCCCCTCGACATGATGACCCAGGTCGGGCTAGTTACGCGCAGTATTATATAAACATGCTGGCCACAAATATAAGCGGGAACAGTCTCAACAACACCAAAGCTGTAGCAGAACCAGTGACCGATACCGCGACATTGGCTTAGTTGGCACACTCACATTATATTTTTCGTGCACGCATGAATTCAAACAGGCGCACAAGTTGCGCAACATCATTGCAGCACGGCAATGCAAAACATAATTTGGATTACGACAAGATCCCCGCGCTATCTTCATTTGTCACAGCTGCCGTGTACACACAAGCTGGTGAAATTGCCCACTGGTTACTCGCACTACAGACAATGGAGAGGAGTAAGGTTGGGTAGATGGGTACTCGTCTCTCACGTTACGTTCACGCGCCGCGTCTGGGATGGGCCGAACTACACCTGGGGCGTTTACCCTTTCCATTGGGGGGCGCCCCGCGCTGGCGATGCCTTTCATTTATGCGGAAGCGGTCCTCGTCCCCTATGAAACTGTGGTCGTTCCACGCGGCATCCTCCTTATCAGTGTCCTCCCAAACTCCCACCTGCAAGCCGCGGTCGCAATTGTAAAACGTTTTGGCAAACATGTTCCTCATCCCGTTGTAACGGCCCGTGGCTTTACAATAACTGTAGGCTGGGTAGCTCAGGGACGGCGTTACGCATGGCCCGACCCCTCATGGCACCCCTCCTGGAGCACTCGGTGCCCGAGTGGGTGTCAACCACCCAGGTCTGGTTAAAAGGTCCACAGGGTGTAGGTGTAGTGTTTCCCCGGTAAGTGAGCCTGCCACAAGATCTCCTCCTTGCTCATCGCGCTTCGGTAACACACGCCGCGTCGCGCCGGCTTTTTCCCGCCATGGTGTAAACTGGGCTGAGAGCTTCGTCTGGCCTTAGGCCATTGGGAGCTTCTCCACAAGCTCCTCATCATGCCCAGCTGCCCATATACCTGGAGTGTTGGAATTGAAACAGAAAGCGTGAAGGCCGTCCATGACGCTAGAAAATCGTTGGCCAGCTTTTCGATTAGGAACCGTATCGCCAACGTTCCCGTTATGATGTCTTCATGGTGATTGCAAATCGTGCTGTCGTTGTGGGGATACGTCATGCCCACCGTGGGGTTACTCGGCCAGAGCATGCCGAACCATGTGGTCAACATGTCTGCACATTCCCACTCCTGCAATCCAGGAACACTGTTAACGTAGAGCTGCGCGCTATCGTCGATGTCCCAGTTGTAAGCAGGTGGACGAAGCATCGCTTGCATCAAGGGCCCAATGCAACTTTCAACTTCATCCGGGAACGCGCCTGCAGCAGCGTCTACGACCCTGACCCAGAGATCGCGCCCTTTTTCCACGCGGTGCTCAATGAACGTTTTACGCCAAGCACGAAAACCTTCCGGGTCTCCAAGTTGCAACATCCTGAACCTGCTTCCGTGCAAGACGTCGAAGGACTCATTGTAAGTGGGACTGCCGTCTGTAGTTGCGATATCACATTCCGAATCCGTTAACTCGCGCGGCTCCTGGTCGATTCAACCCACGATGCGGTCACCCCGCCACTCCCTCACCCAACGGTCCAAACCAGTAGCGCGACCGAAATTCCTGCGAAAGTTAGGGTCGCGGTTATAGCGCTCGGACGACAGCGCGAAGTCGGCGCGTGACTCGACGGGGTGACCAGGTTCGAGGTCACCCCAGTTTGGGCCGGCGACGCGATTGGCACGGACGTGAACACGCCGGCGATTGTTAGAGCTGGTGGCACTGCGTGAACTGGGGCCCCCAACGGAGGCGCGCCACCTGGACTGCCTGCCAGCGAGTCGCGCTCGCCCGCTTCTCTGCGCTCTCGATCGCGCTCCGCCCCTGCAGGCGGGCCCGCCGGCGGCTCCGGCGGCTCCTCGGCGGGCGAGCTCGGGGAGGCGATCGGCGGGCCGCCCATGTTTATGCTGGAGCTCTTGACCCGCTTGGCCGCTGGCGCGTCCGTTGTCCTGGCCTCTTGTCCAGACGCACTCGATCGGCCTGGGGGGTTCGCTCGGGCCGCTTTGATCGGCGACGTGGCCGCCTGCGACATCATCGGCGGTGATTTGGCCGTGGCGCCCACTGTCTTCGGTGACTGCGGCCTGGCATTCGATGGCCTCGGGCTACCGCGGCCAGATGTCGCACTGCCACGTTTCAACGACTTGATTGGATTGCGCAGCCGTGCAGAAATTGATCAAATAGTGTCTCTTCTCCTGTAACTTCGCCAAGCAGTGTTCGTGATTGGCCACAATGTCGCGCCTCACGTGTACTCGCTTGCATAGCGGGCAGTCTCACCCTTCGGGATCCCATCGTGTTCATCGCTGAGTTATGCACTGCGCCTGAATAGCTCGTCTCAGCGCGTCATCACTTCACCGAGGATCTCTTTCACTGCGTTAGTTGAACCAACGCGATCTTCGAACGCGCAACGGAGGGCGTCGGAAGAGTTACATAGCTGATCGCACAATCGTTTTGCCAACAATGACTTGGCCTCGTCCAGGGTGTCGTTTTGCCGCGTGGTGTCGAATGCCTGGTTGCAGAATTCAATGATGCGCGATGCGGCCTCCTCCACGGCCTCCCCCCCTCGCGAATTACAGCATCAGGCGCGGCCACTTCGAGCGCCGCGCCGTCTACCGCCGCGCCGGCTACTTACGACAGGTTCAAGACAGGCATCCGGGCACGGGCCACGGTGAACGAGGTGAGTAACAAGCGACCTGGGAGATGTTAGAAGTAAGAAATTAATATGGCGCGGTGACTTTGGTAACTGGAACCCTGGCGGCGACTGGCTATGGACGTTTAACATGCTGTTGCCAGTGCTGGCTCATGCCTCCCTTCCTTGCGACTCTGTCCTGTGCCGCCAATTTGCATGCTCGCGCCCTCGCCGCACCCATAAGGTTAAGGTTAGCATCCGCGCCTCCGTTGTCCACTTCTAGACATCCACTCCGAATTTTGTGCTGCGTCCTCCACAATTGGCAATCCCAGTGTCATATTTTATTGAGATCGCTGCAGTGGCGTCGCGCCTGAACGCGGTGACACGCGTTGCTCGGAAATCCATCAACACTGCCTGCAGGCCAAAAACTACTGGCCTTCCTCTCGCCATGCCGCGATGCTCATCTTCCCCAAAGGATCAATCACACGTTTTCTGCATAGAGCTCCAGGGTTTTATCATGCGGCGTCCCCACCTTACATCTCCCACGCTCGTGGACTTCCTACATCTCTTACATCCCGCAGGATCAGCGTCGGTCAACGTTGTCAGTCCTACGGGTAAAGTTTGGTACTTTTACCAGCGCCATGCCATGTCAGGATCCTTCAGATACGTACCAAGCTTGATTAACGATTCCATGGATCTCGTGGTCGGCGACGACACGCACCAGGCCATATTAAGTACTTTGAACCAGCCGCTAATGCTTGGTGCATGTTTGTGTTCTACGTGACTCAGCAGTTCATGTTTATGCTCGTATGCTTGTCCGCTGGCCCCGCTGGTAACTTCTCTCCTGGTGTCTCACACATCGCCGCATTCTCTGCTAGCCCTGACCCTCTGAAGATTAACCAGGCATGTCTCTGGTCGGCCACGTGCCTCACTCCTTCGCTCGTCCATTCTTCAATCGCTTAAACAATTATCCCAGTGCGACCCTACCTAGGAGATAGAGCCCCTAGGAAAGCAGCATTAGTAGTAACAGTAACGCTAATCTAGGGGCTAAGCTAAAGCTAAGCTAGAGCTAAGCTGAAGCTAAGCTGAAGCTACTCTGAATCTAAGCTGAAGCTAAGCTAAAGCTAAGCTGAAGCTAAGCTAAAGCTACGTTAAAGCTAAGCTGAAGCTAAGCTAAAGCTAAGCTGAAGCTAAGCTAAAGCTAAGCTGAAGCTAAGCTAAAGCTAAGCTAAAGCTAAGCTGAAGTTAAGCTAAAGCTGAAGCTAAAACTAAGCTAAAGCTAAGCTAAAGCTAAGCTGAAGCTAAGCTCAAGCTAAGCTGGAGCTAAGCTGGAGCTAAGCTAAAGCTAAGGTGCAGCTAAGCTAGAAGCTGAGGTAAAGCTAAGGTAAAGCTAAGGTAAAGCTAAGCTAAAGCTAAGATACAGCTAAGCTAAAGCTAAGCTAAAGCTAAGCTAAAGGTAAGCTAAAGCTAAGGTACAGCTAAAGCTAAAGCTAAGCTAAAGCTAAGCTAAAGCTAAGCTAAAGCTAAGCTAAAGCTAAAGCTAAAGCTACAGCGAAAGCTAAAGCTAAAGCTGAAGCTCCCAAGGGACTGGGGGAACCGCTCCCAGGGGACCGGGGGAACCGCCCGGGGCGCTTTCCACTGCCCGGCCCTTTAAGCTAACCGAGTAAGAATCCTTCTAGGCAGAGCCTAGGTAGGGCACAATAAATACCCCCAAATGGGCAACAACTATGCTATGCTATGCTCTGCTATGCTATGCTATGCTGCGCT